ACCCTTGGTCATGAAGAAATCAATTAAATCTGGCTTGCGTTTTGGGTCCGATGGCCAGTATGTCGGTTTCCCACTAGATAAAAAACTGCATTTAGCCTTTATTGCCTCCTCATAGAATGCTTTACCTTTCGGAGTAGTTAACCTGGAGCCCCAGAACGTGTTCTTTGCATTGAAGTCTCCTCCAATTATGAAATTGTGACCTAATTGATCGATTAAGTTTTTATAATCATTATTTTTTAAGTTATACTTAGGAGGACAGTATATAGCCGAGATTTTAAATTCTTTATTGTTAGTTTTTATTCTAACTGTTGAAATTTGCATTTCCGGTTTTTCAATTTTGGGTTCTGGATCGTGTCCAATGTTTTTTTTTATAATAATAGCTGAACCCCCCTTAGCTTTGTTTTCCGGGTGCGGGGCATGATAACAACTGTAACCCTCGATATTTATGTGGGTTTCGTTTGTACAATGCGTTTCAGATATTAATCCTATGTCAATTTTTTCTTCGATTAAAAATCTTTTAAGGCTTTCAATGTGATTGGGTAGCCCGTTTGCATTCCATGTAGCAATTCTTATTGAGTTGGCCATTTCTTATTTAATTTGAGGTTTATACTATTTTCAATCTTATTTATTCTGTCACATAAGTGTTTTTCAGCAATTTGTTGCTCGTCAAGTTTTTGATGATAATTTTTAGTGTCTCTTCAATTGATTTCATATTATTTGAGTCATTGTTTGTATTTTTAGACTTAACTTTATTGTTGCTTGCAGCTTGAGCATAAGTCATATTATTCATATTATTTAAATTGTAGTTATTATTAGGTTTAATCTGATGTGTCAGTGAATGAGGCACGTTGCTAATATTTGCCTTTTTTTGTGTTTTTATCACTTCATTTCTTTTTCTCTGCAATTCCTTTGCTATTAAGCATCCTCTATAATTGGCTGGGTGATTTCCTTGGCAGTTTGCACATGTTGGAGAGGTGTCTTTCGTTAATTTGCAATTTGTTGTAAAATGTTTTTCGCCACACTTAACACATTTTGGTTCTTTATTGCAAAAGCTTTTGGTGTGATTATAGCCCTGGCATCTTTTACATTGAGGGATCGTATTATTCGACTTACGAATAGGTTCAATTTTAATTATCAGGTTTAATATAGATCTTATTTTATATATTTTGTCAATTTTTTCTTTTTTATCGAATGTCAACATAAATAGTGGCAATTTTCGTTTCCGCAATATATGTTCACCCTTTTCGTTGATAACTCTTTCACTTTTTAAAATATTAACAGCATCAAGAATATTAAGGCCTTGATTTTTGATATCGTTTATAACATCTTCTTTATCGCAAGACCAATGGAGACCTCTCGCCATTACCTTAATAGGTCTGTCATTTTTGTCTTCGTACGTAAACCATTCAATTTTTTCATTGTTTAATTTCTTCGCTGTGGCTCTGTAGTCGTCAGAGTTTTCGATGTTGATTTTCCAGATGTTATTTCTGAGAGTAGTTATTTTGAATGTGTTTGTTATTGATGAAATTAACTCTTTAATCTTGTTATAGTCATCAATCCCCACAACGTTAATTGGAGGTGGTTTTCGAGCAGTTATATTATCTGTATTTTTAACTGCATTCTCTTTGTTTTTCATACTACTTGTTTTAACTCCTGCATCTGTTTTTCCTGATACGTCGATTTGGGATCCATTTGGAGTGTTTATTTGTTGCTGGACATTTGTATTATGAATGGCTAATACGTCAACGTCATCTTGATCTGCTCCGAGTAGTTTCGCCTCACTGGTATTTGTTTCGACTTCTGGTGAACTTTTTGCTTTTCTTTTTTTCACTCTCCTCTTTGGTTTCGAGATAATAGCATTCCCATCAGTTTCAAAGCCCGTGAGGTCTCCGCTACCTGAATCCGATGTTATTACAATTTTTGAAATATTTTCTCTGTTCTTTTCAAGAGCCATTTTTAAAATCAGGTTTTCTGATTTTAGATCATCAATGTTCTTCTGTTGGATTTTAAGAATTTGTTCAAGCTCTAAGAGTCTCTTCCGTAAGACTTCAATTTCAGATGGTACTTTTGCAGATACCTCTATTCCTCTCTGTATTTCTACCTGGTTGTTATGATAGTTCAGCAATAGTTGGCCCCCCCCCAGAATCCGTGGGGCCGACCTCCGAAGAGGGTGGATTTACCATATTAATGGGATTACCACCTGGGGTATTATATCCATAAGTTTTCTCCATTGCATTACTAAGTGCTTTTAAGTTCGGAGGTAGCTCTCCTAGCCTTAAGATACGTACAAGGCAGTACCCAATCACATTTGTATAGCGAGCCGCTTGCTGCAAGTCAGACGCCCGCTCGAAGCCGCCAATTATTGGAACAGACGCAGTCTCGTTAGTTCACTGACCGAAGTTACTCCACCTGGGTTGGTTACCAGATCTTTGGCTTTGGTTGCTCAGCTTAACAGGAGGGACCACGTGAAGGTGAGACTTGGCGTTGAGTAGCAGAGGTTGAGTTGATATAACTGGAAACTATCAACTGGATTGCACCTACTACCCCATTTCCGCTCCCAATTTAGATTTTTAGAGATTAAACGACAAACAGATCTAAAATTATTCAAAATGCGGCTTGGAGTAGCTCAAAAATTAGTGTTATTAGGAGGGATGGCATTAACCATCCTCCACATATACTAGAAAAAGTAGGACAAAGCAGGAGGGCCGGAAAGAGGTGGCAGCAAAATGATAAAGCTAGATATAATCATGTATTGCAGCAACTAAGACGCTGTATTAGAAAATACAAGGAGGATTTGGTTGCCAATTATGTTCAAAATTTGACGGCGTGTGAGAAAACTAATTACTCACTGTGGAGGGCAACAAAGAATATGAAGCTAACAAATATGGTGCTCCTATTAAAAATAAAGATGGAACGTCGGCAAAAACGGACTAAAACAAGGCAAATGCGTTTGCGGAATATTTGACCAATATATTCTGTCCGCATGACAGTCAGAACGTGCATGAAAATCAGGAACCTGTTTTTGTTGAGGATAGCGTGACTATTCCAATTTTCAAGGAAAGAGATGTTATAGAGGAAATCAGGACTCTTAAATCTAAAGGCCCCGGGATTTGACCTAATAACGGCCGATATTTTGAAAGAATTGCCCAAAAGGGGTATGACGATGCTTACGCGCTTAATAAATGCGTGTATAAATTTGGAAAGTTCCAGAAATAACTATGCTGCACAAACCTATAGACGAGGCAACTTCTAATAGACCAATCTCACGGTTTGATTTCAAAACTGCTATAGAAACTTTTATTGCAAAGGCTTCAGCCAATAATTGAGAGTAAAAAGTTAATCCCGAATCGTCAATTTGGTTCTCGCCGGAACCACTCAACCATAGATCAGATTCATCGAATAACTGAACGAATTTTTCTTCACTGAAAGAAAAATCAATATGTTCTATCATACTTTTGGACGTAGTCCAGGCATTCGATAAGGTTTTGCATTGTGAATTGATAAAAAAAACTCAGGTAATTAATACCAAGGTAGTATGTTGGCCTGCTCGAATCTTACCTGACTAATAGGTAATTTCGAGTTAAACAGGAAGAGGAGTGTTTTTCGCTTAAGGATATCAGATCGGGGGTACTACAAGCGAGTTAATTGGGCCGATATTATACTTGTTATACACCTTTGATATTTCTGAATCGGAAGCAATGACGACAGCTACATTATCTGATGATACAGATAATAGGACAAAATGGAAATGAATCTACAGAAAAATTACAAAAGGCCAGTATAGTACACGTGAATTTCACTAATAGGAAAATTGACAATTCTTTTGCGTTTCGGATAAATGGCGTCTTAATTCCATTCGCAAACACGGCGAAATATTTGGGAATGACATTGGACGTAAGGCTCAGGTGGAAGGAGCACATAAAGAGATCACAACTCGAGGAGAAATACAGGAAGTTTAAGTGGCTTTTGAGAAGGCGTTCTTCGTTGTCAATATACAACTAAGTTTTGATATGTAATCAAATATATAAGCCTATCTGGGCTTACAGTATCCAATTATGGGGCTGCGCTGAGCAGACTCATATTCAATTTATTGAAAGATTTCAAAATAAGGTATTACGGGAGATTGTAAGCGCCTCCTGGTATGTCCATAATGCCGATGTATACAGGGATCTCGCGGTCCTAAGTGTCACAGACGATTTTAAAAAACAAGCAGCCAATCATAAAATGAGTTTATCCAATCATGTCAACATCGAGCCGGCGGCTCGATTGGACGGCAATCAAAACTTTGTTAGGAAACTCCAACGTACGATACCTCTCGAGTTAGAAACAATGAGAACTTAGAACGCTACTGTACCAGATCAAAAACTCTTAAATAATCAAAAAAGTTAAACCAAAATTAATGGTTAGTCGTTTCTGACTAGTTTTATAATTTATTTTAAGAAAGGTGTTTTTAGTGGATTAAAGTTCCACACTATTGCTTTCCGTCTGGCCATGTCTTTCGAAGTTTTTCACCCATCCTCCCGATAAAACAAAAAACAACCAAAGTTGGGTCAATTGTACAGCTGATCTAATATGATGCGTATTAGATCAGCTTCTTCAACATTTTTGGACACCAAACTTTAAAGTATTACCATATTAATACATTTTCGTATATGATTTTTATATGATTACATATCGATGCTGCGTTGATTACTTTCAGATTATACGCATAAATTTAATTCCTCTTTGATACTATAAAGTCTAAACGATAACATTGAATCATCCTATAAATGATTTTTTTAGTATTTATATTATTTCGCTGGCAAAACTGTGATACCACGTAAGTGCAAATATTTCCAAAAGTACTTTACCAATTTTCTGTTTAGAAAATGTCAAACAAGCCATCTATAATAAGAAACGCAAATTCTATTAATTATAAATATCGATATATATCAGTTATCCCAAATATCGATACATATTGTAAATGTCAAATATGAGCATCCAGGTACTTGACATCTCTAAATTATAGAACTTACGTAAATTGCTGCTGCTTTTTCGAGATATAAACACTGACGAAAATCATGTCCTCGTTCACAACTAAAAAACAAGATTTGCCACCGTCAGGTGGATATAAAGCTATAAAATTTGGTCGTATTCCTGCGAAAAATTATTTTAATGGTATGTTATCGGTAGATTTAAATTTAGAAATGTATGTACATAAATATAATATATTAAATTAATACTTGCCTAAGGTACTCAAATTATTGGAAGCTATGTTGGCGTGACAGTAGCTGGGCTTTTCATTTATTATTTAACGGCGAAGAAAATAAAACGAGAAGAAATAGAAATGAGAAGCGCGGAAAATTGTATTTATCCCTTATTGGTGGCTGAACGGGACCGAGAGTTCTTAAAACAACTTCGTAAGAACCGTGACGAAGAAAGTCGTCTTATGGCAAACATTAAAGATTGGGAGGTAATATTTTGCTAACACTACTTTTTAACCCTAGTAAGTTGTTTTATTTTTAAGGTGGGTACATGGTACGGAGAACCAATTTTCAAAACCTTGCCCGAAGATGAGCTAATTAGTCCATCTTTTAAAGAATTTTATGCTCATGCCGAATACAAATCGTATGCAAAGCGTGCTAACCTCAAACTATGGTCATAAAAATAAATGTCAATCCTGTTATTTAATAAATTTTATTGAACTGAAAGTAAATCTTTTACACCAATTGTATTTATTATAGATTTATCAATTTTCTCCATAAAGTATTTTTAAGATTAATTCAAGTCTCGAGGGATATTTCTTTTTTTTTTAATTGTTCCATCACATGTTGGTGCGTGTCTTTGAAGAAACCCCTCAAATACGAAAATTCTACCACACCTTTCACAACGAAACTCCTGTAATTTACCCATTACTACACTTGTGCTGCATGAATATACATATATACGTAATGTATCACTTACCTTTTTTTCTTCTAAAGATTCTTTATGTTTTCGTAGCTCTTCTTCGTTAGTAAATCTTTCACGACATTCGTCACAAGCATATCGCCTTTTAGTATGCCGAGAATCAAAAACTACTGTAAACTTCTTTTGACAAAACGAACAGGTATATTGTTTGACTATCTTCTTTTCAGTACTACACCCATCATGGCTAGTTTCAACTTCAACGGTGATTTGAGAATCATTTTCATGATTTTTGACATGGGCTTCGTACTTTTCATCATCTATAAACTTACGATTGCACTTATCACATTTTCTTGGACCTTTACCGCTGTGTCGTAAAAGATGTTCTTTTAAATAACTAATTGAATTATATACTTTTCCACAAATTTGGCATTTACGCGCTTCTAGATCTTTTGCTTCTGTTTCTTTTTGACGCAAGCAAGCACGAATATGTAGCTTTAAACTAAATGTTTCCTGGTTTACTATAAAAAAAACAATTTGCACATATGGTAAAAATTCTTACCTTCCAGCAGCTCCATAGCAATTTCCACAATTAGGACAGAAATGTGATTTTGATTGCTTTGAATTAGATAAAAAGTCTTCTTGACCTGATTCTGACTCATTTTGAGTCTGCACTTCATCTATCTCTTCGTATTCTGTTTCACCCATTTGCTCAATGGTGTAAACTGCATCTTTAGATTCATCATCTTGCTCAATTATTTCATGGTATATTAATGTAGGATTTCCTTCGTGTTGTAAAATTTCTGTTTTTACAGACGCCTTTTGCATATCGAAATAGTATGAATCTGATAAAATATCGTATAATTATATTTATTTTTCCTATTATCAATCACTATTATGTTAATATTAGTCCATTACAATTGCATAGAATAATCAAACACAGAAGCGGAAGTTTCTTAGAACTGTCAACATTGATTTAAGCAATGCTGCCAATTTACACAATTTTTGCTTATACTTATAAAGGTTAAGGTTGTAAAATATTAATTTTTATACCCTTATTATGATAGGCGAAGTGAATGGCTAGACGAGTTTATCGGACAGGCGAATCAAATAATATTTTAAATCATGATCGGCGAACGCTTTCATTCGCCAAATCCAAAACGCTTAAATTAATATTAAACAATCAATAATTTTTACAATAATTTGTAGAATTTTATGAACTTACTTTACAGATAGTTTAGATTTTTCCATTATATCAAGCTTATTCGCCAAAATTTTGTCGACTTCGGTAATCATAATACAAAAAATTCATATTCGCGAAAAATTACATTTGCTTCGCCGATCATAACAAGGCCCAATATATCACATGTACCCCGGGAGTTTTGTCACTTCACAAAAAATTATTTCACTCCCTTACTTTCCATAATATGCTTTTATGGTTATGCTACTACTCAAATACTTCCTTCTAGTGGACCTTTCTGTTTCTATGAGCGACAAAAAAATGGATTTAGATTAGTATATAATAGTTTGAAAGTTTGTAACAATAATCAATGAATTTTTGTTAAAATAATTTTGTAAGGTCATGAGAAACTGTTCAAATCTCTTCGAACTTCTTACACCGTTATAAAAAAGTTTTGTATAGTCATACATATTTTTTTTTTCCTTCTTCACTACTATAAGGAGTATGGGGCTAGTGCATGATATCTATCATGCTCTAGTTTCTATAGTCATAGAGAGTTAGCTATGTAGGTGACTAGCCTACCGTAGTTTTTTTTTATTTATATTAAATATTTCAGTTTATTAATATTTACCGTTTACTTTTCTTAGTCTTTAGTATCGAATATTATGGATATTTGAAAATTACTTGTATAATATTTATTAGTATTGCATATAATATTGAATATAATTTTTATAGTGACCTGACCGGGGTTTGAACCCGAGACCCTTCGGTTCAAAGGGCCCGGTGCCCTCTGAATTTTTGAAGTGTTTCTGAATTTTGAAAAAAGATTTTAATTTTGCTGAGAAACTTCAAAACATTTAGCCAATATTTGTTTAAATATTTCGTAAAATGTTTAAATAACTTTTATAACTACTGAATTCGTCGATTTTTCCATTTTGGTTATTCAATCTTAATTAAAATCTATGACTGGTTATTATATCTAAGATCAGACAAAGGCTGATGTCAAACAATTTTAATTCAGATTAAGTACTAGATTTTGCCGTTATGATAACAATAATTTACAGAAATAGCATAAGCGTTAATTTTGACATTTGACATCACCTCAAATTTGGTAACACTTCAAATATCACAACCAATATTTTATGGAAATATATGTACATTTTAACATAACAGAAATATCAGCCGTGATTGAAACGTATAAGTATCAATTTTAATTTTTACTTTTACGTTATTCTTTACTTATTATCAATGTCTTTATATCTAACAAGTCCCAATGCTCAGAGAGAAACTTGAAAGCACGACCTTATTTTGTATGGGTTTTTTTTAAATCGAAGTGCCTATTTTTTGAGAAGAAATATTAAAATAAATTCACACTTATTATAAAGCAGGTAAAATTTAGAAAATATATTCGAAGAATCAAAAAAATATATTAATATTTTCATTGATAATTATTTTAAAATTCTAAAAAAAACGGAAAAACAACAAGCACAACCTCCGCCTGCAACGTTTTATATGTTACTGAAAGCATTTCATTATTTTTAAGTGAACAGCTTTTTTTTCTCATAGTGTAAGTTAACTCAAGATATGGGAAGTAACTGTGGTGTCAAGTTGAAAATATAATTAATGAAAGATAATTATTAAATATTGATATAAATACATATTAAAGAAAAAATTTGAAGAGGGAACTAGAAAATAATATCTAAAATACAATCAAATATTATTTGTTAAATACAAATTTTATATAAACTTCAAAATTTTATCTCTATTTTTATTTGAAAAAAATATTAAAAACTTACTATCATTTATATCAATTACCTAAGAAAAAAAAATATTTAAAATGTTTGGAACAAACAGTGATATACTTTTATGACCGGATTTGAATATTTTTTTATTTTGTTAAAAATAAAAAAATAATAAATGGTATTTTACCAAATGACTCAAAAATTCTGACTGTAAAATAACAGGTATTTTAAAATTTTTGTTCTTTATGTAATATTCTTTCCGTTTAGAATTAAGATAGGTCATACATAGACATGCAGGGACATTTTATAAATAGATTGCTCTTGTTAACCTGCTAATAAAATATGAAAAAAGAACACAGCAAAATTTTTGAAGCACTCAATATAACATGTTTTAATAGTTTTAAAATAATTATTTAAAAAAAATTTATTGGAAGTAGGTACATACATATTTATTTTTAATAACTTAAAAACTAGCTGAAATTATTTGAAACAATTTTATAAGTAACGTATAAATAACCGAAATGAGATAATTAAAATTGTTGAAATGAGTCAACCTATATTACTTTTATTAACAATTTTGTTAGCCGACACTACTCAACTTACCTTATTGGGAAATATAAAATGTGCATAAAAAATCATACATCCTTCCTCATTAACATTTGAAACCATACTGAAATATGAATTTGAAATTTTTTTTCATTTTTTCTTTCCTCCTACCTTTCTTTCTTTTTCGTGCAATAGAATTTAAATGGGAAGCTTTTTAAAAAATGTGTATAATATCCTGAGATTTTTTAAAATATTAAACTCTTTTTTACGTAAAAAAAAAGAAAAAAATAATAAAAAATATGACACGATCAGTGGCATTTAAAGAAAAAACCAACAACGAGGCCAAAAATTCGTAACATTTCGTAAAAAAAATTGAGTATTGGGACTTGTTAGATATAAAGACATTAGTTAGATATAAAGACATTATTATAATTATAAAAATACTGCTAAAAATGAGAAGGGAATGTCATAAAAATTGGGCTTACCATTCGTCCATTTTTAAGTGTAAATGTTTACTCTCCATCACCTTAAACTTTGTTTACTTTACTTGTTTACCAAAAAAGTTTTTTTGTAGTCTCCTTTTAAAGAATACTCTTCTCTATTTTTTTGAAATAAAAAAAAACTTTGATAAAAAAAATTGTGATTGTATTCAAAGATTTCACAGTTTGAAGTCAAGAGGAATTAGAACATCAGTGTTCCTTTTGTGACACCTTGGTTTTAACTTTTGTACTTTTTTTATAATCTTGCAAAAAAAATTTATACTAATACATTTACCTTGATTTTTGTAATTTTTACAAATGAGTTTTGAGAAGCGACGCGTTATACATACATATGTATACCGCTGTAATACTGCATCGTTTACAAGATTTACATCATGTTTATGACTTATGAGTTTTTAACAATTTTAATACCTTAATTAATTGCAATAATTTTATACATTCTTTCTGTTACACGTATGACGAGACGAGATAGAATGCTCTCCAAAAGTTTTTGGAGTAAAAGCCAGACTTGAAATAAATAAAGTCAATTTTCAAAAAAATAAAGAACATTTGACATTCAAATTTTCTTTTTTTTTGAAAGTTAACTTTATTTATTTCAAAAATCCTTTGCTCTGAAAACTTAAAATTTTTTGGAAAATATTCTATTTTATTAAAAACTCATGTCTTAAACAAACATTGTAAACGATGCAGTATTAAAGCGAAATATAACACGTCGCTTAATGTTGATATATTCATCTTAAAACTTATTTGTAACAATTGCGCAAAAACCAGTTTTGTAATATTTGTTGGGTAAATAATCATAATAGTATATATTTTTTTTTGGAATAAAAAAAAAGTGCAAAAAAAAGATGCTCAAAATCATAAAAAGTGCAATTTTTTTCACAAAGGTATCAAAACGGGTACACTGGTCACGGATACTTATTTCAAAATTTAAAAGCAACAAAATAAAACTACAAAAGCCAATCTTGTAACAATATGATAATTTTATTAATTTATACATATACAAATATGAATTTGCTTTGAATTGCTTCGAATCCAGTAGTGTGGAATCAAAAAATAAGATGTAATCGGAAAGTAATCAAAAATGTGAATCGATGCAAAAAAAAATTGCTGATGCTATTCCTATGTTATGCGCTTACTTTGCTAATGTAATATTATTTTGACACTTGTGGATACTTTCCAAATATGTAATGTTATTTGGCGTTTATTTTAAAATTATTGAAATTTTCAAATAATTGATACATGGATTAAGTATGTTCAATAATCTTCCTGCTTGTGATAAGAAACGAAAGCCGTTTGAGTCATTTTAATACATATGAAATTTAATATTATAACCATTTTTTACTACTTTTTTTTTATTATTTTTATTTGATTTTATTTAAGGTTTAATAATGATTTCGTTAATTGAATATTTTTTATTTAAATTTTTTTTTAAGTTTTTTAAAATTGTATATTTATGTATGTACATAGTTTTCAACAAAGTAAATCTAGTCTTAAAATATTCCATTTTTCTTTTTAAATAGATGGTAATAAGAGTTGTGTAGGCAAGAAAGAAACAAGATATCGTAAACAAATGAATGTATCAAAAACATCAAACTGAAATAAAATTAAATTAAGTTAGGAAAAAATTTTGTTATTTTTATTTTGATAACAACAAAATTTATTTTTCATTTCATAAAAGGTAGGTAAAAACATTCGAATGCATGAAAGTAACCGTCGACGTCTGTATGTATGTATATTCATTAGAAATATTTGTTTTAAATTTTTAAAGCAAAATTGAAACAAAAATAAAAAATTCATAGTTTAAATTACAATAAATGTAATGATAATTACTAATTTTAAATTTTTTTTAATATTATTTGTCTTTTTCAAATTAATTTATTTTTATTCTAATAGTCAAATTTTGTTTTTAAATCGCTTCGCTTTTATAATATGGATACACCATTTCTGCAAACTGTAGGGGAATAAATTCCGCTTTTCAAATTCTTAATATTTTTTCCTATACTTTATATACGAAAAAATAAATAACTCCCGCTTTTAAAAATACGTCATAAAAAAACAGGTAGACATCTATTGCGTAATCTTTCCCTCTCCCAAAAATTGTTGTGTATAAAAATGAAAATAATAGGGTATACTGCTTAATTCTTTTAGCTAAGGGAATTTTTGGTATACAAATATTAGTGAGTGATTGCATTAGTGTGATGTAAACACATATTTGAACTACTTTTTGGTAGATATAATTATGTACTTTGATTGAAAAATTGAAAATCTATAAAAAAAATGAAAATTTTTTTAATTTCGATTATTGATTTGACAAAAGAAAAAAATTGATGCACAGCTGATGCAATATGATACGCATTTGATGCGTTGCTTTTTACATTTTTGGACATCAAATCATGATTTTGCATCGATGTTGTATCAATTACTTTCCAATTATACCGACACAATTAGCGAAATTCGAGTTTCGGTAATTGTGGGAGTAAAAAGCACAAAAATACAAAATAAATGGCTTTATTAGAATGACTTCCTTCACTGAAATAAATACATACATGGGTAACAATTACCTTTTTAACGATTTATTCAAATTCAAAAATATGGGCTGTTGTTTAAAATATACAATGCATGATGTATATCCATATGTATGTATATATAAGCCCAGAGTAATCTTTTGAAAATATGCTACCCCAACTTGGGGATTATATAGTTATTAAAGAATTATGTATAGTACTACATAAATTAACTCTAGAGCACCAGCCATTAAACAGGCTACAAAACGTCACATAATGTTTTATTTATTGTTAAATGTAGAAATTTTACAAGGAATTCAAACTTTTTGTATTTTAAATACTAACTTTTTTTTATATTTGTTCAATACATTTTAGAACAAAATGCTGATTATTATTTTATCTTAATCTTTTCACTTTTATGGAAAGCAATACCGTGCTACTTCAGAAAGTTTATATAAACATTTTCGATTCATTGTTTTTCTGCTTTACATTTTTCGCTTTAGAAGCTTTTATTTTTTAAACATTAAATCTAGTTTCTGAACCGTCTGCTAGCATTAAAGTAACGGTACGATTATTTATCCATATAAGTTTTGCGAGACGTATCGGATTTAATCTAGCCACATCCGGTATAGGCGCTGTCGAATAGCCCTTAATGCACTTTGTTTGTGATTGGCCTAAACCGAACATACCTGTACTTGTTTGCCAAAATGATAAACGGTTTTCAGCACAAGAATAACTAACCAAAAACTTGCCATCTGGACTGAAGCTTAAAGCTGTTATTGGATGAGTATGAGCTGGTATCATTTGGCATTTATTTTGTCTCAGCTCATATATAGCTAAATGACCATTACTTGCACCAACAGAAATGCGTCTTGAAGCATGACAATGTGATATTTGATTGAATTTACACAAAGCCGGACATAGTTCATTGAGAGGGCGATTCTTCAATTCAGACGAGTCAATACAATGCAAAGTAATGTCCATTACCTCTACTAACAAGTTCGACATCTCAATTTGCATTTTATCAATTAGCATTTCAACACATTGTAAAATCTCTTTTTTCGCTTTATGTAATACTGAATGTGCTAACTGAACATTAATTGCTTGAGCATTTTGTTGCAAAGTATTATAACGAGCAACTTCTCTAGCCATTGTAGTTATGAAACCTGCTGGTCGTGCAGTAGCAATTAATCGTAAAGCGTTACGAGCTGTGCGACAAGCATCTGCTTGTGGTGTCAAGGGTAATTTATAATTTAAATTAGGAACAAGTTTTCCAGAATCGCAAGATATTTCAAGCAAACCAAGTAGAACTTTGCAAACATCTAAATGTGGCTCCCATACAGTAAAGCCTCGCCCTATTAAGTCAATGGCAGCGCGCCTTAGTGGCGTATGTGCTGGAAGTTTAGGTGTTGCAGGAGCTAAAAGTAAATGGGTTAATGCCATAGATGTTAACCTTGCTAAATTATTATTAGAAATCCCAAAGCCTTCAACAACAGAAGATTTCCTACGTTGATCTTGTGTACGACTTTTATAATTTGGACTATCTTGTGAAATATCTTGACCAAATTCAGCTCCTATTACTCCTAATAATATAACAGCAGTTGTTTGTTTTCTTTTCAATTCAGCTATACTGGAAGGTTTTCGAATTATTTCTTCCTCTTCCTCCTCTTCTTCATATTCTTCCTCATTTCCCAGACTATTATCTAAAAATAAAATTATTTAAAATGACGGATTCTTTTTTCTTATATATACCTATTTCGTCAATATTTGGAGTGCTATGCTGATTTTGAGCAGTGATATTAGTTTGAGCTATTGGTTCAGTATGAGTGTATAAAGGTAAATACTGCGCCCAATGTTCTACCAAAACCTTCCTACCTTTTTTGCCCATACGGTTCAATTCACCTAACAAAATTTGTTGAGCCGCCTCTCTTATTTCGATACAGTGATGTTGCCATCGCTTCGTCATTGCTTCGACTTGTGGTCGCTTAAAATTTTTCGGTTCTGTTGTTTCTAATTTATCCGGTAAACATAGGCAATGATGTGTAGATAACAAACTCCAACTTTGTTTAATTTGCATTTGATGATGCGACACAATTTCATCATGTTCTTCATTACTGTTCCACAATTGCACACAGTTTTTATTAGAATGATTTCTTAAAAGTTTTATGTTTTCAGAATCCGATATAAACGAGGCAGATTTCATAGACATCAGCGTATTTGACATAGCCACCATGGCAAGCATATGATTTGATGTCAGTGTCGTACTAAGCTCCCAGTGAAGTTTACGTGTAAATAATTCTGTCAATTTTTTCTGACGAACAACTGCGTCTTCTTTCAAATCAACAATTTCTGATGGCTGATTTTCATTGAAGCTTCTGGTATTCACGAGTGGATCATTTTGCCATGTTGGCAATACAAATGACATATATCCTCCTTTAGAAAGTATACCAAAACATAAGGGAACTACAGGTCTTATCAATCCCAATTGTGTTTCACAAACCTTATCTAAATGGGGATCCAAACCCCAAGAATGCAATAAAGATAACAAAAGTTGCGCTACCTCCATAACGTGAGTAGCCTCCATTTTAGAAATAATTTTTTTTGAATCGTTATTGTCTTTATTTGTTTCCAAATTTTTTTGAATAGCTTGTATGTTTTTTTCAAACTTTTCTGCTCCTTCTTTTACTTTTGCAAATATACCATGTCTGTCTTTATCTTTTACAGCTAATTCACCAGCTTTTGTTTTAACTTTTCCAAAAAAATCTGTCAATTTTCTAGCCGCTTGATCTCCAACATGCGATTCGTGTTCAATATTAGGCACAACTAAGCCTTGAGCCTCTAGAGCTGTTGGTGTTAAAGTTGCGTACTCCTCACTATGCAATTCAAAAATTAAACCATCAATATCAAAAAATAAAATGTGACTTTCAGCATCCTTAGGATTTGTACGCAGACCTTGTATCAACAATGGACTACTACGACATTTTAATAAAAATGAACTGTCATTATTATTATGACCATGCAACATTTGTAATTGATGGATACCCCGCTGAGTTGCATGGCGTATTGCTTGCATATTCCGATGCCTCAGACCTCGAAAGAAATGAACTGCAGGGTTTGCTAATCCAACATCAGATGTAGGGTTCATTGATGTTGTTTCTTCAACAGAAGTTTCATCACATGCGGATAAAACTTCTTCAGCTAACATTCCTAAAAGAACAAATTGCTTTCAAACATAAAATATCACTACAAATTTTTAAATTGCTTTTAAACTAATAGCATAAAAATTACCGTGCAAAACTCTGTCTAAATGGCCAGTTTCCATTTGCCAAACATAAGCAGTACCGTCTGAGCAACCCACAATTAAAAAATCGTCCGAAGGCCTCCACTTTATTGTCATTACAGGAAAAAGATGACGACTAGCTAAACATATACATTTACGCTCTTGCAAACTCAAAAGTGTAACTGAATGATCTGACGCAACCGAACATATACATTTTTGAACCCTAAGACTGCAATTACTTGGCGGAACTAAAAGTTGAGTTATTTCTCCAGCATGTACACAAAATCTATGAATGAGGCTCCCACTATACAAATCCCATAAGCACACAGCGAAATCGATTCCACCAGAAAGTAAGTAATTTTTGTCATACCGTGAATGGATCAGCGATGGACATAACAAGCAATTAACTCTCCCATTATGCCCCGACAAAACTTGGTGCCTTGGCCAATAACTCGATTTTTCAGTACCATATAAAAGTTGTAACATTACAGTTTGAGTTGCGGGTACTATTATTATTGTTCCATCTTCTCTTCCTACAACCAATCGTGATTGAGGTGGCAAATATACGCTTGCTGTTAGCTTAACACATTCTTCAGTTATATGTTCAATTTGATCTAATATACCAATTGGAGGAGGCCGCATTAGAGACCAAGCCTCAATTAGACTTGTACAAATTGCGTATTTGTTTAATTTTGGTTCCAATTTTGTTGATTGCATTTTTAATATTTCAGTTAAAGAAATTTCAGGAACCGTCCACACAGTCACAAAACCTTCAGAATCGCCTCGCAATAGATAGCAAACGTTTTTCTCATTTGCTTTTTGCAATTGTATAAATATCATCGCTGGTGGACATGATAACGTTTTGCTAAAACTTGTTGTAAGAACGCAGTATAAATATGGTTCGTCTTGAGTTGCCGACTTTGAATGAAATTCTTTATTGTCAGGTATGCAGTTTAAAGGCAACTTGAATACATATCCTTTTCCATCATCTGACCATAAAATAACACGATCTTTGGAGATAAAATCTCCCCCTTGCCATCTACATCCTGCCGGTGCGTTTACACTGCACAATACAGTAAAATCGCCTTGAAAAAGACGTTTAATATTATTATTTAAAGGGAGTACGTAATTTCGGAAAACTTATTTACCTGCATCATATACTTGCCAATATTTTGTACACACTATTAGAACTGTTCGTTGATTTTGGGAGCAACATTTTAGAGTGATGGCATTCAAACATCGAATTATTTTAGATTCATTTTCATATATTGGTTCAGAGTATTTGTTTTCATTACCTAGCAAAGTCCAAACTTTTACCGTGCCCGTTGTGGTAATGGCTAAAACAACATCGTCTTTCCTTTTAGATGGCCTCAAAACATGTAAAGCTGAAATCCAATCGGGTTTAACTTTTGAACTAAGAGAAAAAAGAACCTCCAAACTAAATGGATCTATTACTAATATTTCGGCATAATAACCAATACAAAATAACCTCAAATCGTTACAATTAGCCATTTGGTAACTTTGAATATGTGTATGTACTTGCGACAATTTGACGCTTTCAGAACAACGTCCATCGACCAAATCCCAAGTACACATTTCCCCATTTTCAGAAGAACTGACAATATAATCATACTCGGATGATTCAGATGCATTTGTCAAGCATAGTACTGGTGATGAGTGACCAACTAATAATAATCTTGGAATCATTTTAAATGTTGAAGGTTCGATTTTCCACAAACATATTTGACCATCATAGCATCCTGTGGCAAGTGTTGTTTGATCATTCGACAAAAATATGCTTGAAACACAGTGTGTAGGGGCTGAAGAACCCCACAATACAACCGGAACTACCAAATTGCTACTAACCATTATACTATTTTTCTCTAATTATTGAGTGCTGATAAAGCTTACTGGGTTTAGCAGGACATTTGTTGCAGGCTTAACCTTTAATATTCTAAGGTAAAGATTTTTTAAAATAATTTTTCCGACCTTAGTAGAAAACAGATATCGATTTTTTTTATTAATGACATTAATAAGTCACAAGGTTTCGTTCAATTCTTGACATGACACAAACATCAAAGTAAAGTCAACGTCATAATAAAAGCCTTTCAGTAGTGGTTTGGTTTTTTAATACCGTATATTTCTAACAGGTCAACAAGCTCAGAGAGCAAATCAAAAATAAATTCCAAATTTATATGGAGTTTAAATGGAAGGGATGTCAGAATTTATTTGTGTTGTAGAAAATTCAATAAAAATCAATATATGAGATGGTTTTTTTGAAAGTGGTATAAGTACACTTTTTAAAAGTTTAAGTTAATGGTGATTTTGATAAGCTATAGACACCTTATCTTCACAGTTACAATCGCAACTTCAATAAAATTCTGCTTAAACATAAAACAAACAAAATATGTATGTTATTATGGTCAATATTTTTAAATTGATTCAAATGCAAAACTTTAAATATCTCAATATATGAAAAATGGACTTATACTACTTTAAAAAAACCAGCTCATATATAGCTTTACTGACATTTTTTTAATTTAAAATTTAAATTTAAAAAAAAAAATTCGTGAGTTAATTTCATCTGAAAAATGCAATTAAAAAAAAATTGCAATTTTTAGCACAAACAACTTTTCTTGTCAACTAAATGGAAGGGTGCTGAATTACAGAGTAAAATTTTTGAATAAGAAATTGATTTTAAAAAGAAGTTGAAAAAAAAAATACTTTTTTATACTATTTTCGTACTTTTATAATACTATTTTACTTTTATAGTACTATTATAATACTATTTTCGTACTTCGAAAATATAAAACATTAAAAATTCCTTGTAATTTTTTTTGATTCAAAATTTCGGAAAATAATGGCATTAAGTTGTTCATGCAAAACAATTTTAAAACTTTCAAGTTTCCAACTAGAAGAAAAACGGTTTTGATAAAATGCGTATATAGCGCACGAAATATATTAGCAAGAGTAAATGTAAAAGAGAGTTATTTTATTGCCAAAGAGAGGAACTTTTCTATTCATATACCTAAAAAAATTTTGCATTTCGGAAAAATATTAACATTTTCAACGAAATATTTTTAAAAACTTTGGGTTCATTCAACTCATTTGAAAGATTTTTGGTTATGAATTTTGTTTTAAGCTCCTCTTCGTAAAAGAATTGAACAAACTCTAAATTCTCCTAACACTTAATAAAAACATGTGTGTTTAAGTATTAAAAAACATATATAATGGTGTTTTTAATTTTTGTATTAAACTGTCAAGCTATCATAAAAAAAGTTTTTGCTGTAATTTTTTTTTTGACATATTTTTTTCAAATTTAAGTTGTCAGAATACATATATGTACATATTTAAATCGAAAATAATTATACATTTTTTTGATATTACCTGTTTCCATGCCTGTGTGAAATTATATACAAAATGCTGTATAATTGATTTTACCGTTCGTTGTTCTAGATGTTGATGCCAATGTAACACTTTTCAGTGCATTTTTAGCACTGTCCAACCGTAAAAGAGAAATTTGCACTATAGCGCAATTTGGTATTATTTTAGAGAGGTTATATTTTTTACACTCAAAATTTAAATTTTTACAAAAAGAAATTTTTTAGTTTTCAAAAATTTCATGAGAAAAAAAAATCAAAATATACTTTCGAAATGCTGTTCTTGTTAAATGTTAATGTTTGCAGAGAAATGATAAATCTTGGAATACTTGTAGTTTGATGTTTGATGAACACTTGATGCTTATTATTTGGAAAAAGAAAATAACGAAGAAATGAACGTCATAGTGATGTTAATCACAGACATCTTTATATATTAGGAGTACATTATAGGAATTTATGTGTTAATAGTAAAGAATTCAAAATAAGTAAACTATTCTAATCGTATAATAGTTATAAAAATTTTTCTTTTAAGTTTTATTTATTTTTAATTACTTTTTATCGTGAGGTAAATAACATAATATGTAATGTCTTTACATCTAACAAGTCCCAATACTCAATTTTTGTTACGAAATATTACGAATTCTTGGCTTCGTTCCTGTTTTTTTCTTTAAATACTATTCATCGTGTCAAATTTCTTATTATTTTTTTCTTTTTTTTACGTAGAAAAGAGTTTAATTAATGTCTTTATATCTAACAAGTCCCAATGCTCAGAGAGAAACTTGAAAGCACGCCCTTATTTTATATGGTTTTTTTTTAAATCGAAGTGGCTATTTTTTGAGAAGAAATATTAAAATAAATTAACACTTATTATAAAGTAGGTAAAATTTAGAAAATATATTTGAAAAATCAAAAAAATATATTAATATTTTCATTTATAATTATTTTAAAATTCTTGAAACAGATGATTATTGAATATTGATATGAATACATAGTAAAGAAAAAATTTGAAGAGGGAATTAGAAAATAATATCTAAAATACAATCAAATATTATTTTAAAATCAAATTAATTTTATAAGTAACGTATAAATAACCGAAATGAGATAATTCAAATTGTTGAAATGTGTCAACCTATATTCCTTTTAATAACATTTTTGTTAGCCGACACTACTCAACTTACCTTATTGGGAAATACAAAATGTGCATAAAAAATCATACATCCTTCCTCATTAACATTTGAAACCATACTGAAATATGAATTTGAAATTTTTTTTCATTTTTTCTTTTCTTCTACCTTTCTTCTACCTAAATGGGAAGCTTTTTAAAAAATGTGTATAATATCCTGAGATTTTTTAAAATATTAAACTCTTTTTTACTTAAAAAAAAGAATAAAATAATAAAAAATATGACACAATCAGTGACATTTAAAGAAAAAACCAGCAACGAAGCCAAAAATTCGTAATATTTCGTAAAAAACATTAAGTATTGGGACTTGTTAGATATAAAGACATTACTTTTTTACATAAAAAAAAGAAAGAAATAATAAGAAATATGACACAATCAGTAGCATTTAAGGAAAAAAACAGCAACGAAGCCAAAAATATAATTTATTCGTAATATTTCGTAAAAAAAATTGAGTATTGGGACTTGTTAGATATAAAGACATTATTTATACATATCGTGACTTCAATAATGCAATAAATTTACGTAAATTTTACGTAACTTTTGGTAAAAGCTTTTGACATCGTACACTTTTCCTAAATGCGTTATATACGTAGTGGTATTATATGTTACTGAAAGCATTTCAATATCTTTAAGTGAATAGCTTTTTTTTCTCATAGGGTAAATTAATTCAAGATATGGGAAGTAACTGTGGTGTAAAGTTGAAAATATAATTATTGAAACATAATTATTAAATATTGATATGAAAACATAGTAAAGAAAAAATTTGAACAGGGAATTAGAAAATAATATCTAAAATACAATCAAATATTATTTTTTAAATACAAATTTTATATACACTTCTAAATTTTACCTATATTTTTGAGAAAAATTTTTAAAACTAAATATATTACCTAAGTAAAAAAATATTTAAGAGGTTTTGCAAAAGACAATAATATATTTTTATGACCGGATTCGAATATCTTTTTTATTTTTAAAATAAATATTATCTTAGGAAATGACTCAAAAACTCCGATTGTAAAATGACAGGTAGTATTACTGATGTAAATTTTTGTCCGTTTGCGTTTACTATTAAGATTCATACACAGGCAGGGCCATTTTATAAATAGATTGCTCTTGTTTACCTGCTAATAAAATATGAAAGAAGAGCACGAAATTTTTGAAGAAATATATATAACATGTTTGAAATAGTTTTAAAATAATTATTTAAAAAAAAATTGATTGGAAGTAGGTACATACATATTTATTTTTAATAACTTAAAAACTAACTGAAATTATTTGAAACAATTTTATAAGTAACGTATAAATAATCGAAATGAGATAATTCAAATTGTTGAAATGTGTCAACCTTTATTACTTTTATTAAAGTTTTCGTTAGCCGACACTACTCAACTTACCTTATTGGGAAATACAAAATGTGCATGAAAAATCATACATCATTCCTCATTAACATTTGAAACCATAATGAAATATGAATTTATTTTTCATTTTTTCTTTCTTCCTACCTTTTCTTTTTCGTGTAATAGAATTTAAATGGGAAGCTTTTTAAAAAATGTGTATAATATCCTGAGATTTTTTAAAATATTAAACTCTTTTTTACGTAAAAAAAAGAAAGAAATAATAAGAAATATGACACAATCAGTAGCATTTAAGGAAAAAAACAGGAACGAAGCCAAAAATAAAATTTATTCGTAATATTTGGTAAAAAAATTGAGTATTGGGACTTGTTAGATGTAAAGACATTAATCAGAGCATTGAACAAAAAGAGAGTAACAGTCCACTTTGTTGCTACAAGCAGTACATGAAGTCAGCATGGTATTGAATTTATAGAAGAAACACTCCAATTTCAAATATTTAGAGTTTTTTTTCGATTTTTATCCTGATATACACCTTTGTTAAACTTTATGGTAATTTATGATAATTTTATGATTACCAATAATGATGAAAAAATTATATTAATATAGTATAATAATATACAAAAAATAAATCACAACTCAAGTTGTACTGTACCCCACAAGACTATAGAGAAGACTAATATAAACAATCGCTGTTAAGAAGGGACAAATGGGGTTTTTGCTAGATTCAAAACGTGTGCTGCTCCAAGGACAAAGTATAATGGTTGAACCAAAAAAAAATAGATACTCCTTGCAAGTTTCTTAAGTAAAACAATAATTATCTCTTTTTATTGTTGTGTTTCAACCAGGTTGTAAAAACCCGTATTTACGCTCGAAATAAAAAACATTTAGTTGAATACATCCAGGAGATTGAGTCACAATATTTCGAATTAACGCAGCGAGATTATTATATTATCTTGCGACGAGATTATAATATTGTTATATAAAATAGACCAGTAGTCCACATAAAATAGATCTGGAACACATTACTTTTCCAAAAATTAAAAGTAGCCGTTTCTATCATCATCATTTGTTACCAGCCCGTATTCTGTCACATATGAAGATCTGCATGCTGTTGTTACTGCACACTGTGCTTCCGAGATACTCGAC